GTTCAACAACAAGTAAAAGCTTGGAATGGTCTTTTCTTTCGTTGAAGGTGTGTCTGTGGGCCAGACTAGTTTCTGACAATTCCACTCCTCATTAGGGTCATGGAATGCTACAAGTTCTTCAAATATCTATAGAATGATAGGTTTCTTTTTTTGTGAGTGCAAAACACTTAAAAACACCATTTTTATTTTCAATACCTCACTACCATAAAGGCTTGGTTTGGTCTGAAGTTTCATTTGGTGGTTGTGTCCAGGGTCACTGATGAGGAGTGGAATTGTCAGAAACTAGTCTGGCCCACAGACACACCTTCAATGAAAGAATAGACCATTCCAAGCTTTTACTTGTTGTTAAACAAATATTCAGACATGTATAAATCACATAAATATTTTCTAAACTAGCATATGCCCAATAAAACAATTCAACAATAAATGTCCTAAAAATAGTGATGAAAAAATGTGCAGTCAATTGAATCCCTTTGATCAGAGCATATATACAATATCATTGTCTAGTGGGCCATTTACAACCATGTGTTAATTCAATAATAAATTTTGCACCACATTTGTTTTTAAGTGAAGGAGAATGACTGTATTGCATTATTGGCAAAAATATTTAGATTTTGATGTAATGGGTGTGTCAAGCACAACACGTGCTCTAATTTCCTAAAGATACTTTTTTTCTGGATGCCACAATTCATTGTCATTTTACTGAGCACAAGGAACCACTACCAATGCAAATGTTTTTTTGACAGTTCTCATTTCTATAAGAAAAGTCAAAAGGAATATATTTAATTCAATTAAAAACAACACTGATGGATCCATGTTCATATAGATATAAAATGTTACAGGGAGACAAACATTTGGATATTAAATATATACAAACTAGACACAAAGTCAACTATACTGGAGTTGAGTTTGGAACTATAAGAAGTGATTGTACAGAAATGAAAACTAGAACAATATCAGTGTGAACAAGGCTTTAATTAGGTGGTTATTCTCACAGTAAACTGGAGAAATATGGATAACATCCTGTTTTGATAGTTCACAATTTATAAGAATATTTGCAGTTGGTTGTACACTGGCCACTGTAAAAAAAAAAAAAGGAGTTATTAGGGAAGTGGAAGTCTTTAAAGAAGGATTTGTGTTAATTGTTGTTGTTTGGTTAGCTGTAGACACACTTTCTCTTAGAGTTGGATTGTTTCTTCTTTGGTAGTGGAAGCAGTTTGATACGAAACATACTCACGATAATTATACAATTATATTTCTCCTAGGAACTACAATCCAAAAGAAGAAAAGACAAATCGTTGAGTTTCTGTATGAAAAGTTGAAGTTTGTTAAAACGACTAATATACAGTAAGTATAATACTAAAATTAGCAATATAAATCTTATTTAATATTTTTTTATATATACATGGAAAGTTGTGGATGTTTGTAATGTAGGTTTTTTACTTAAGGATTTTTTATGGTAGTCTCATTTTCTTTAGGTTTTATAATGTAGGTTTGTATTTGTAACATTATCTTACATATGATAACTTGTTGGAATGTTAAAGATGTTTATTATTTGAGACCATTTGATAAAATACCTTTATAACTGATACATTATGAACAAAGTTTTTTGTAAGAGCTGAAACCACTTGTTTGATGACGAGGAACCCACTTTGAGACTATTAATGGTTGGAGACGGCTTGAATGGGTAATGAAGAAAAACTTTAATATAAGTTTAACATAACAGCAAATGTACAATGTTTCGACAAGGTTTTGCTGTTATGTTATATTAAAGTTTTTCTTCATTACCCATTCAAGTCATCTCCAACCATCATATGAAACCACTTGTGTCTCTTTTTTTTAGTTGAGTCTTTAGCTCACCTGTCTTTGTATTTAAATATGGCTTTTCTTAAAGTTATTATTAAGATGGGCTCAATTGTATTGATAATTTATTTATAATTGTTTTGTTGAAATTAAGACTATATTGTAATGTTTGAAAATGCATAAATAACCTGACTATACTTTATTCCAGGTTCCACTGTTTAAGTAAAGGAACCTCAAAGCTTCACCATTACTATGATGATACTATTATAGTATTACGTTGTATATAAAGATTAAGAAGCAGAGATGAAACTGATGTACATGTTTTCATCATAATATCTTATAGGTTTGGAAACTGTTAACAGTTTATGAAGATGTAAATAGTTACACAAGTTTTTATAACTTGATCATGTTATGCCCATGAAATATAATGTTAAAAGTTCAGAAATTAAATGATTTTATACATAGGATCTGTTGACTAAAGATCAATAGTTTTAGTATAAGTTTTGTGTGTTATTTAGGTCAAATATGTGAGTAAAGACATAACAATATTTTCTGTTGGGTTGGTGCTTAGTTTTAGTATACTTTGTATCTACTTTTGTAGTGTTGTACATCAGTTCCAGATTACAAGGTATCGTACATCAGTTCCAGATTACAAGGTATATACATCAGTTCCAGATTACAAGGTATCATACATCAGTTCCAGATTACAAGGTATCATACATCTATTCATCAGTTTATTCCTCACACATCTCAGCAGAAGTACAAAGGTTGATTTTGTCAGTAAAATGAATAGCAGGTTTACATTATTTGGTAAGTGTAGGAACTAAGCTTTGGTGGTCTCTCAAACATATGATATTCTCATGAATCTGATCTTATTTAAAGTAGGTAGTTGGTCAAGATCTTTCTTGTAGTTTGGAGAGGTCCAGTTTAGAGCAGCGATACCTTGTAATCTGGAACTGATGAATGGATGTATGATACCTT